TACGTTCCAAGATCTGCTCCCAATAGAATGTGCCCAGAAAATCTCCAAAAGGTAGCCTCCTAATTAAATGCCCTAACCACCTTCTATGACTTCCTTTGTTGAGGAGGAGCAGCAGCTCTACTCTAAGCTCAGATGACAGAACTTCTGGCCACCTGACGAAAGAAGCTCGGCTCAATTACTTATCTTATTTTAGTCATGATTCAAGTTGATTATTTGTCATATGCAGGTTAACACAAGGTTAACAGTACAATGAAATGCTCAGGATGAGAAGAACAGATTCACAACTCATGCCCACATGTGTTGGTAAGGAGCAAAAAGCAAACTTTGACTCAAACGTATGCTTCACACTCCAGAAACTTCCTCAGGAAACATGAGCATAAGCCTTCTCCAAACTGATAAAACACTTGTAGAATGAAAAGAAACACTCAAGAACCCCTTCGACAAAAACCAGGTCTACTCCAACAACCAGGATCAAAGCCACACTGGTCCACCAGTGAAACGTTATACCTAAACACAACTTTCAGTTGAAAAACTGGACACAATAGGAAAAATAACTTGAATGAGTCAGAAATATTTCAAATAAGATTTTTTTTTTATTAATTAAAATGTCTATATTGTTACTACTGAAATGAATGTAAGTGTAAATAATGATGTATATTAACTGAGCAGGACAACAGATAGATAAAAAAAAAAAAAAAAAACTTACAAGTGTTCTCAAGTGTGTGAAGTATGTAGAGGCATATTGTTTCACACAATTTTACTCCACAGTTGTGCCATATGTTGACTGGCTGCAGTATGTGCCAGCGCTGATATAGACCATCTGTCAGCTTGCAGCTGATTTATTTGCTGGCTTTATAAACATGCATATTTATGAGAACATTTCAACTTTTGGTTCTATTTAAATGCTTTTCTTATTGTAAAAAACATCTCAAGTCTTCATCTTCTCTGACATGTAACTGTCCACATATCTCAATAGAATTCAGTTCCATTTGTCCAAAAGATTTCTATCAATTAATTTCCACCACAGCAGATAGGATCAAGGTGCAGGGTCTTTGAAGATGCCCTTAAAGACGTTACCTCTCACTAAAATATATGCGATGATACGACTAAATACAACTGTCATTCAACCGGTCAGCAGGCTCCATAACAGATTTAAAAATATGTGCCATACTTTTGAACGAATACGGTACAGTAGTCCCTCGATTATCGCAGGGGTTACGTTCCAAACACCCCCACGATAGTTGGAAAACCAACGAAGTAGGAACTCTATTTATTTTAATATATATATATATATATTTTAAGGCTTTATAAACCCTTCCCACACTCTTGCAATGTTGTAAACTCATAAACCTACATCATTTTAACAACATGCGTATATGCACTGTGGTACTGCAAAATTTTACTCACCAGTTCTGCAGAACAACAACTCTGTTCCGGTCTGGCTCAGTTCTGGTTCTGCAGACCTACCCTGCAGCGATGAAGCCCACCGCCCTGTCCAGGTTGAAGCCCACCGCCCTGTCCACGTTGATGTGCACATGGATAATCGAGCTTCGGGAAGCTTCAGGAAGCTTCAGGAAGCTTCAGGAAGCTTCAGGAAGCTTCAGGAAGCTTCAGGATTATTTGTGACATTCTTGCCAGTTCTGTGAGCTTCATAGATGGCTAAGATTTCCGTTGCAAATAACTTTCCCTCCATTTCAGCAGAAAGCAACGACCGGAAGCACTGTTGGCTTCTGGGTAGTGTAGTTCTTTTGACTGGCCTTACAGTATAGGCTTATTGAAAGAAAACTACAAAATGGCAGTGTGAGTCCAAAGAATTTTTTTTCCTGTAAACTTTTTGTACCGTACTGTCCCAGTCACGTGAGTATATTAAAGTTGACAATCGTTAAAAAAAAAACCCTTGAAAGAGCGAGTTCACGAAAGTCAAACCTCCAAGTAGCGACAGACTACTGAATTCTTGGAACTGGGGGGAAAAAAAGCTAAACAAAATATTTAACCTTGCAGCCTTTCCATAAAAAGTACTTTGGATGCATGGAACTCCTGACTGAAGTTTAAAAGTAGGACAGGTCAGTGTCTGCAGTTGGTCTGGCAATGATTAAACGCAACAGCTCAACGTCTAACAATGTATAACATTTTTTTCAACAACTCTCCTAATTTATAGAATAACATCCATTAGAGCTCGTGTCTGAAGAGTTGTACTCCAAAATGACAATCCAATCTTTGTGATGAATGCCTTGTTCCTTATGATATAATGAATATTTGCTGCCTGTAGGCTTCATTTAATGGTGACAAATAATACAATGTTAAAGGGGAAATGGGGAAAATGATCATTTGCCACGAACTTGCTCAATTATTTTATGTCTGAAGTAAAAGGTTTGCATGTTTTATTTATTTATTTATTTATTTCCATTATAGCTTATAACCCTGGATAACCAAGTTTTCAGTATTTGAACACGATTTTTTTTTTTTTTTTGCACATAGAATATTGTTTTTTTTTTATTTCATCTTACAAAAATCATTGTGGGAATTATAAGCAATTCTTTTACAGTGAGATTTTTCCCTCCACAGTCACTGGGGTTTTGGTATACGGACACATTATTTGTAAAAATATTACATTTTACTGCACGCTTGCTGAACTAATGCCTTGCTTCCGCTGTGGCCCAAGAGGAATAGATCAGTTAAAAATAGATTTTTCAAATATAAGTCACAGTGAATACGCTGCTCGTTGAGAGGAAAGTCACTCAGTGAAAAGGAAACGATACATTACAGTAAATGCAAAAGCAGCATGGCGGAGCAGTGGCTAAAGCTGTCGCCTCTCAGCGAGGGAGTCGTGGGATTACCTCCCGGGTCTTTCTGGGTGGAGTTTGCATTTTCTTCTCGTGCTCTCGTGGATTTTCTTTGAGTTCTCTGTTGTCCACCCACAGACCAAAAACATGCATGTTAGGTTAATTGGTAACCTTAAATTAGCCCTAGATGTGACCAGGGGCCTTTCTGGTTGGAGTTTGCATGTTCTCTCTGTGCATGTGTGGGTTTTCTCCAGGTACTCCGGTTTCCTCCCACAGACCAAAAACATACATAGACTGCCTTCAGGCCCAGGCCTCCCTTGCAAAAGAGATCTGTGATCTCATTGGGATTTGCCTGGTTAAATAAAGGTTAATAATGATGTATGTTGAGAAATTATAGTTAAAAGTTGTAGATAACTCTCAGCTACTACCACACTCAATTTTAGCTCAATGCATTTCAAATGGAGTTGTAGCAGTTTTTCTGTTTTCTCAAGTCGTCTTGAATTGACCTGAAGTGACTCCAGAAGTTAATCGGTTGTGGATGTACATCAAATAAAGAACTAGCCAAAGTTTCATTGAAATCTGCCCAGTGGTTGACACAATATTTTGCTAACAAACAAACAAACAAACATAACTCTAAAAGTTAATGCCAGAGTTTGAAGAAAGATGTTGCACAATCTGTGGATGTTTGTGTTGGGAACATCTCAACTGCTCCATCAAATTCGATCTGTAGCTGAGTGATAACCATTCTTTGTGCTGCATCTGTTTTCGCTGTGGCCGACAACTTAAACAGGGTGAACTCAAAACATGTATCAGTTGTATATTTTATCCAGGGATTTTTTTAAAAAGTTTCAGTAAAATCAGTTCCATGAACTAATTGAAGACGGGGGTACGTCTTCTTCAGCAGGATGGCAGCTCTTCTTCAAAATGGTCACTAGGGGGGGCTGTCGCTCCTCCCCAGGCTCTGATGGAGAGGACGCATCAGAAGACAGAGACTGAGACAGCGACTCCGGAAATCCCCCCATCCCTCCACGAGCTCATTTGCAATTCAATAAGTCACAATGTCATCTCTTTAGCTTTTACACATTTAGCTGACAAAGGGAAGCAGGCGCGCAGCTTCATGAAATATCGTCTGGGTCTCTCAAAGAGGGGGCCCTAATCGTTTCTCTCTTCTGACTTGCGCGCGCGCACACACACTCTCACGCACAGGTCTCATCAATAGAAAGTGAACGGGGTTTTATTCATCTTACCTGAAGGTGATTGGTGGGTGGATCTCGCGCGGCAACGTGCGTGCGCGCGGGTCCGTGTCATTTCGATCGATTACAGGGAGAACAGGTGTAGCGTGCGTCTTTGTATGAATAATGCAGAAAGAGGCTTTGAACGGAGAAACACGCACGCGGTGTTAAACTTTTTATTTAGTCCCTTCAGCGTAAAACAACTCATGCTGCGGTCTTTACTCTGGGTGTTGGATTCTACCTGGACAGACCAAAAAATAAAAAAATATAATCAAACTTACAATCCCACACACTCCATTGGTTTCCCTAACTGCCACTCAACCCCCCCCCCCCCCCCCACCAAATTCCACCCTCCCCCGGCCCCACATCCTCCGCTAAAACCCTGCCATCCTTCACCCTCCTCCTCCTCTCTTGCCGGCTGCTGAAAGCGTCAGACCTCCTCTCCTGCTCCTCTCCTCCCTCCATCCCGCGGATACTCTCAAACTGAGCCCAGACTAGCGCGCGCGCGCGCACACACACAAACACGCGCGGAGGAGGGTGAATGGACAGAAGAGAGGAAACTGGGAGAGAGGACGGAGCTGCACATTTTGGATATTTACGCGCGGTCTCAAGAGGTGGCAGAGTTTAGTTGCGTCCAAATCGCCTTTTTGAAGTCGACTTCTTGCATTCGAGTGGGTTCTGGAGACTCTCCGATGGTCTGGGTAAACTTTGGAGAAGCAGAAAGTGAGGAGGACAATGACACTAAGGCTTCCTCAGCTCCCACCGTCCCGCTCGGATACGTGAAGCGGAGGAGCGCAAAAGACGGAGGAGAAACGGGTTCATCCATCGGCTTCCGCAGAGTTTGCTTTTTTTTCTTCTTCCTTCTGAGGAAAGAGGATTAAAGTATAGAGCCTGCGGGGGAATTGCCCACTGGATGGGGGGGTTTCTTCTTTATTACTGACTCCTGAAGGATTTATAGTTGACTCCAAAGCTCATCTGCGCGGTGTTTGAGAGGTCAAGCACAGCTGGAGCGCAGTTTGTTCAAAATGAGATTATTGATTTCACCATAGTGATAATAATCTGACTGTGGGGAAAGGAGAACGATAAATAAACAAACATAAAGAAGCACCCCACCAAAAAAAAATTGTTTGGAGACCAGTCCTCTTGGTTTTAGCCAACAGGAGGCATGGAGACTGTCGGAGCAGGGGGAGGCGCGCCGGTGGGATACTGTCTCTGGAAGGCTGCTTTTCTTCTTGTTCTGTGGAAAGGTAAGGGATGGAAGGCAGGCACTTAGAGCTATTTCATTATTTAGGGATAATGCATCTAAAATCACTCATTTTTAAATAAAAAAATGGAGTGGTTTTCCTTTAGTATTTCCTTTTCCACAACCCATCAACGCATAGTCACCGAGAAAAAATAACTCTCTTGCGCTCTTTTTTTGGGTCCAAATCGGACTTTCTAACATCCGAACCCTTACAAAGAGGAGCAGAACCAAACCTTCTCAGCCCGTTATTTGCAGCACAACGTCATTAACAGGAAGCAACACATTTTAAAACCACAATCAATGACAGACAATTGCAATTATTTCAACACTGCAAAAAAAAAAAAAAAAAAAAAAAAAAGTTGGACAGCGTCTTTTCTAATAAATAACAGTTGACTACAGATGCAGACTGGTTTGACTGGATTCCCGTTTGAATGCGCACGTTCTCATTATGTATTTTTCTTTTACACGGGGTTGAAATCAGAGAAGTGCTCCTGAGATGTGTTAAAATGAAGAGTCCGCTGTTCATTCACCTCTTCCTTTAACTGCAAAATGAGGTGAAGCCCAAGTGATGTGACTGAAGTTAAAATAATCTGTAAACGGGCGCATGCGTCTCCAACAGAACTTTTGTCTGATCCCTAAAACCGATCCGTGATCAATTACCTGGAGCGAGCAGGGGTGTCTCTCTCCAGAACACAAAGGAAACCTCCTCGGATGGTTTGAATTCTAGTCGGCTACCACCACCACCCACCCCAAGAAGACGCAGCGCAGCCTGAGGAGCGCGCGCGCAGATAAAGCCCTCTGTGCGGGTTTGAACGCCTCCGTTTTTCTGCACAAACGACAGTCCTCCTCCTGCCGTGCCACAATCCCGCGAGTGTTGTTTTTGTCCACGTGTGTGGGGCTGCATTTTGCGCTCTAACGAGCTCGGATCGTTCGCGCCGGCTCAGCAGTTAACCGTGGCTGCGCCGTGCGCTCAGGAGCGCGCTGGACGCCGCGCGCCCCGACAATTAGTGGACGGTGAGCAGGGGCGGGAAAACAGCTGGACCAACCACTGAAATCATCCAAACATCCCAGACCCCCCTGGTGACCCCCCCCCCCCCCCCATCCACATCCAGAAGTGTTTCCATGGTGCCGGTTTTGCATCAGCTTTTTGACTGCTGTTTCCTCGCTCCTGAGGCTAGGCCACTTGTTTTGCTCTTTTCTCACTCTGTCTCAGTCTTTTCCTCTCACCTTGACTCACACGTGGAGAGGTGTGTCACATCTCAGCTGCTTTAACTGTTTTATTAGACTTTAGTGTAAGGACTATTCAGGTAAACAAGCTTCCACCCTGCCTTTATTCTTGTTCAACCATTTGTTCTGTTCATTAGTTCTGTCTCCTGTTCATTAAGGCACTGCACTGGTTGTGTTGTGCATTTCAGCCATTAATTATTCACTTTCAAAAGATGCACAATATCATGGTGCAGCTAAAATGACTTGCAGGGTCTCGGCAGTTTGTAGTGTTTGTGTCACCCTCCTGAACCCAAGAAGCATCTTTATTTTCACGTCACTCCGTTTCAGTCTAATTACATCATCCTGTTATTTCATCCCCTGGGTTCTCTTCAGGATGTTATTGTGTGTTGTTCAAAAGCTCATCATCTGAGAAATACCCTCTAGAAGCAAACAGTTTGGTCTTGAAAAGACTGAATAATCACTGAAGTGGGGAGGTCATGATGGGCTCTGATCTCTGCAGGAGGGCTGATGGTGCAGCTGGAAATATCAGCATATCCTGCATGGAAAAGTTAACTCCTTCATCCACTTTTGCCATTTGATTTTGGGTCATATGAGGCTAAACAAAACCAGCATGAGGAAAAAAATATCTCCTGCAACGAGGTTCAACTAGTTCCTGCGACTAAAACAAACTTGTGAAACTGTCTTAGATCCAGGGTTGCCATCTCTCATGGTGACTGCTGCAACAACGGCTCCTGTTGGGTGTCTGCAGAACCCTTGTTTGTGTAACGCGCTCACCAGCTGTTGTTCTAACGGTGCCAACTGGGACGCAGCACGGAAAAAATCTAAACAATACAAAATGAAAATCGCAGCATTAACACTGCGTGATTCATTACTACAGTAGAGTCTTCACACGGTAACATCTTGTGCTCATTTGCTTCTGCGTTGCACAGCGTTGCACGCTTTGAACAAAAGAGGCTGCACAGTTTATGATATTTTGCTGCAAAATATATCAACCCATGATGGTATCACCACATTTTCAGACTATTTTCATATCAACCAATGTAAGATTTCCTATGACCAATAATGATATTTAGAACTTGGGGCAGACGATAACTAATATACATTGATTTAGTTGTTTTTGGGTAATATGTTGTTTTTTTTTAAAAACAAAAATATGACAATAATAGACAAACTTATACATTAAAGAATAATTTGCATAAGAGCGTTCTTGCTAAAAAAAAACAACCTGTGGGCTGGCTGTAACAGCTGCACCTTCATTTTCCTATAATAGAGGCAGGATGATGGTTTATCATCATCCATAGTCAATAATGGCAGATTAAAATATGTTGGTCCATTAATTTGTCAGTCTCAGTTATTTGTTTACCAGTTGGCAAGCTAATTTTATTTAATCTTTTCTATTCTTTTGGTCCATTGATGTTACTCAGTCTTTATATGCTCAAAAATTACCAACTCTTTTTAAAGTCAGAGCATTATTTAATCTCATACTAAATTACAAACGGTGAAGAACCATAAAAATACTAAAAGGAGAATTTACAGTAAAAATTGCTGAAAGCCCATAGATTTATTAACAGTTTGTCCACAAGAGAGCACTGAGTTGATATCATTTTCAAAAGCCAAATATTCCCCATCTGTGGTTAGCAAGCTCTTAAATGCTGTAGCATTATTTGTGCTGGCTCTGGGCATTTCTGTTAAAGAATGTAAAAAACAAACAAAAAAAAAAAAATCAGCTTTTCTCTAAGTGGCTGACTGAGGCCATTTAAATTGTGTTTCAGAAAGAAATCTCATCAGTCTCGGTCGACAGTTTCACAAGCATGTGCATTAGCACTTAGGTAATAATAAATAGATTACCCCTGTGTTTATTATAGCACGTTTCATTGGCGTGCTTTTTGCTTAAGTAACTTTAAAAAATGTCTTCTGTTCAAAATGTGTTCCTGTTTGTTCAGGAGTTGACTTTAAAGAAAAACTGCCTGGGTTCAGCTGTGTTTGAGAGTTGTTGCACAGCAAAAAGCAAATTTAACATGTCAAATGCAACAAAAAAAAGACAATTTAAACTGTGTGCATGCGTGTGCATGCCCGTGCGTGTGATTGATTGAGTGAGTGTGTGTGTTGGTATGTGCCAGTTTATGTGGCTGAGTGCGTTTAGCACTACACTATTAACCTGTAGCAGAATGTCAGCTCTCTGCAACATTACTCATGCATTAATAATTACTGATGTAAAATCAGTGACACACACACACACACACACACACACACAGCGCTGTCCTTTCTATAAGTTGCTCTTTTTTACTACCCTCTTTGTGTCCAGTTGTTGGGTTAATTTACTCACTGACTCATTCATAACCCCTGCCACGCACGCACACGTGCAACTTACTCAAAGTATCTCTTTCTTCGAAAAATCACGCAGCAGAAAGGATTTTCAGTTAAACTGAGGACAGCAAATCTGAACTTTCACTCATGAATGCATGAACCATTTTCTAATCCTGGATGTGTTTTGGTTGACCGGTTGGAATGAAGGAGCTGTGAGGCTGCTAACTACATGCCATTAGAGAACCATCACTCGAGTGAGAGTCTTTCTCCTTCTGCCCTGCTGTGCACGCTCTCTCAGCTTCTCTGTCACAAATACAGTGGAAGTGTGCAGAGAGCGACAACATGCGAGACGAAACAAAGACGAGCATGGAAGCAAAGACTATGAATACAGGTGGCTACGTGATAAACACACGTTTGTCTTTATATGAGATAAAGGCTAAATTGTCATCGTTTTATTTCTAACTATCGTAGAAACCTTTTAAGGCTTTGTCCAGAAGACGGACAGTTCAAACGTTAAAATGGCTCTGCTGACATTAACATATGATTTACAGAATTAATGAAGAGCACATGTGAAAGTGAGATGTTGTGAATGAGTATCATGGCCGGGGATATATACGATAAGAGTACAGTAGTCTCTCGTTTACTGCGGAGGGATGTCCACCGTGATAAGTAGTTCAAGTTCACGTACAATAAACTTTGCCATTAACATCTCATGTGGTACATGAGATGGAACGAAATTATGTACACTATTAGTACACTATTGGTCCGGTCCGGACCAGAACCATTCTACCAGAACCAGGCTGAACCGCGCAGCTGTTTGCTGTCTGCAGGATCCGGGTCACACTGAGTCCAGATCAACTGCAGCTACTCAGCAGTGAAGACTCAACTTGAAGGCTGAGTTCAGATTCAGGATTATTTGAGACTTTCCTGCCAGTTCTGAGATTATCCTTACAGAACTTCTGACTTTGTGTTGAAAAACTTTCCCTCCATTTGCACAAAACAGCAGTTAGAAGCAGTGTTGACTTCTAGGAAGTGAACTGATGGCTTCTGGGGAATGTAGTTCTTTAGACTGGCAAAAACTGTGTAGGCTTAATGGAAAAAAAAAAACAACAACAAAATGACAGCACATTTTTATTTATTTTTATTTTTTGGACAATATGTACAGTACTGTATGTCCATAAACTGCAATAGAGCGAGTCTGTGAAATTCGAACAGCAAAGTAGTAAGGGACTACTGTAATAGTGTCAAGATCTGTTTTTGTTAGTTTCTTAGAAGTCCTTTGTGTTTTACGATTAGGTTTATTTAGGTTTTGAGATTATGGTGCTCATAGTTATGTTGCGTGTTTTCATTTTATTTATTATTTGCTTTCTTTGTACCATCACTCATTGTGCTTACCCTCATTCTTACTCCTCAGTCCTGCCGCCCCTGCTCACATCTGCACCCTGTTGCATTAAGTTCAGCTGTTTTCCA